TGTTAAAATTGTTGAAAGAAAATTTTAGTTATGCTACTTATGTATATATATATAGCACATAGGTGAGTATATTTACCTATTTAAACACGACTGAAGTAAGACACAATTTCACTGTGTGGCGGCATGGTAAGTTTGGGTAAACTCGCTCGGAAAGGGTGAGTAACTCAATAACTTTCCTAGCCACAGAGTTTCATAGTTTTAATATTGAAAGGACCGCTTAAATAACTGATTATACTTGGTGAGTGATGTTAAGTTAAATTTAACGGGTGTGTGGCTGTGCCACGTCCCAACTTTTTAATCACAAAGAGCGAAAAGAAGTTTTATGGCAAGATGACGTAAGTAGTCAGAAAAGAAATTTTATCTAGGACACTCCTCATGGTGCAAATTTTGTGAAAAGTTTGAAAGGCAGTGAGATGTAGTACAATGCCATTTGTGACACGTAGTGAGTTGAGGTGGAGTAGATAAATTTCATTTTCTTATGCGATTTGTAAGATCAATTATAGAAAACTGGAGTACCAATCGACGATAACCCGGTGTTACGCGATCAATGGGGACATTGATGGGGACTGTCCGGGGAGTATGTGCCATTCTGCCGGATTGGCACAGCGCGACGTTCCGGCGGGACAGAAAAAAACGAATAAAGGCCTTAGTAACGAAAAAGTATTGCGAAGGAGGGTAGGAATATTCTAGAATTTTTATTTTTTTTAAAATTTCGATCGAAGAGTGAATATTTCTCAGAAATACAAGAAGACGACCATTTTGACGGGAAAGGATGAAAAAACACAACAACGACAGAGATAGCAAAAAACAATCACACGAAAGAACGAGAGAAACGAAGCCTCTTATCGTGGCAATAACACACGATAAGAACCTTAGCAGTGGAAATTAGTGGAGAAGGAAGTTTCAGTGGGGAATGAATATTCCACGGAACCCTCCCGTGCCACAAATTGGGAGAGATAACAGCGTTATCTCAAGAAGAACACGGGAGCGGAGGCTTGGCCCCCCAGAGACTGTTGTATGTGAAGGGACTATACAAAACTGACTTTGTAGCTACTTGGATGTCGTAAAACCTTGAATTAACACCGGTATGATTTGATATTTTAGAATATGAGTAGCTACAAAGAGGAAAAGGTCAATCCATCTCCAATGGATGTAGTATAGAACTGTCACACAAAAACATATTAAAATAGGGTTTTCGAGCCGTGTTTTTAATAGCAATCACGTAGTCTGAGGATCCGAGACTCAGCTATGTGGTTGTATTTGCATGTAAACGAAAGCTGATCAAAAGTCGTTTGACTGATGGCCTAAAAATAGTAACTTTTTACTTAGCCCTAGACAGACCAGAAAATCAACTGGCAAGGTCGAGACGGTGAAAAACGAGTAGGATTAAGGTAACTGACGCCTGCCAGTCGTTAATAGGTACTTTTTCTACGCTCCGTCGCTGTGTAGTCATTGGGCGAATGTTACAACTTTAATCCGCTACTGCTTACGCGTGTTATAATAACGAAATGTAGAGCCCGTTAATCATCCATTAACGTGACGAAATTTTTAAAAAGCGTAAACGAAACCCCATATTTTTCAAAAAAGTGTACATGTAGAATTTTTGACATTTGAGCTCCGCATAGCATTATCTGGTATAATAAATTTCCGCAAAATTGCTTCTTTAAACGTCAAGAATAAAAAAAACAACCAAGCATAAATTTTCCATTTTTTTCAGAAATCGGAACAAAAACAGAAAACTATTTAGAAAACAATTCACAAAAGTGGACTCGATCCAAAATTGCCCAAGAATTATATCGACAGTTGTTTCGCGTCGATATTGAACTCCTATTATTCCAAACGTTATAAAAAGAGGCAAAATTTTTCCAATTTTGCCCAAAATGGCATAACTGGCTTGCTTCGTAAATGTGCCGACGGCAGAAAATGATTTGGCAAATTAGAGTTCTGTGAAACAGTTTGTAATGAACTTCTTCGACTTGAAAACGTTTTGAAATTTTTTTTAAATTTTTTTTTCAATTGACCTTTTTACTATGACTCTCAAAGATGCCGAAGATCTAATTTTTCGTTCATATTTTCATATCACAAGATGCAGAAACTAACGACTTCAACTGTAGAAAACGTTCTTGTATTTTGTAAGACTGTGGTCGGAACATTATGTGGTACTTGCACAGTAACCGGCTATCCTTGTTTTATTTTGTTATGACAAAATAATCGGAACAAGGATTTTTTTTCTCAATTTATCCTCCCACACGGTAATATGAAATAAACAACGATGCATTTAGAGTCGGTGTTAGTAATAAATTCAAGGGTTTGCCTCAATTTATTTTGGAAAACTTTAATCCGCTACTGCTTACGCGTGTTATAATAACGCAATGTAGAGCCCGTTAATTATCCATTAACGTAACGAAATTTTTTAAAAAGCGTAAATGAAACCCCCTAATTTTCAAAAAAGTTTTTACATGTAAAATTTTTGACATTTGAGCTCCGCATAGCATTATCTGGTATATTAAAGTTCCGCAAAACTGCTTAGTTAAAAGTCAAAAAAATAAAAAAATTCAACCAAGCATAAATTTTTTGCATTTTTTTTCAGAAATCGGAACAAAACAGAACACTATTTAGAAAACATTTCACAAAAAAGGACTCGTTCCAAAAATGCACAAGAATTATATCGACAGTTGTTTCGCGTCGATATTGAACTCCTATTATTCCAAACGTTATAAAAAGAGGCAAAAATTTTCCAATTTTGCCCAAAATGGCATAACTGGCGCGCTTCGTAAATGTGCCGACGGCAGAAAATGATTTGGCAAATTAGAGTTCTGTGAAACAGTTCGTAATGAACTTCTTCGACGCACAGAAAAAGGATGTCCGTACCGATCTTTTCTCACAATTTCACGTCTGATCAAACAATTTTCAGACATTAGCTATTTTCCAGCTCTGGAAATATCTGTTTCACACGTAATCACATCTCCAAACAGTGCCGTTTACAGACTATACCTGACTCAGACATGACTACACCTGGTCAGACATGATAGTACCTGCGTCAGCATGATTATACCTGGTTCGACATGACTATACCTGGTCAGACATGACTGTACCTGGTCAGACATGACTACATGACTATACCTGGACAGAAATGACGCATTTTCTCTACAGAAAAAAAGTTTTCTTTTCTTTCGTTAGAAACTATCCATTTCTATTCTGAAAAAACCAAAAATATATTTTTTTTCATGACTTTTCGAAAAGAAAATATAAAGAAAGTTTTGTAACGTGTCTTGTTTTTGGATAAATAACAAAAAAATTTCATTTGTGGTAATCAGCGTTAAGAAAAATGAACAAACTTACGTTCAGTTTTTCCGTATCTCGTGGGGGGGGGGAGTGGGGGGGGGGGTACATTTTAAAGAAAAGAAAGTCTTTTACAGATAAAAAATATATAATAAGTTTTTAAATAAGTAGGTAAACTTTTAAGAAAATCTATTATAAATTAAACAAATAATATAAGTCATAATAACCCCTTCAGTGTAACGCGTAACTTATGCACCCCTCCCCCCACCCAGTGTAATTTATACCCCCCCCCCCCCCCCCCAGTGTAATTTATACTCCCCCCAGTGTCTTCTTCCAAAAAACATTTGTTCTACCGAATTTCTCGGCGACATAAAAATTGTTATGTTGGGGTCATCAGGATTAAAAGCGGATCTAGGATATCGAGGTGACCCGATTAACCCATTAAAAACTGATTAGATTCATAACAAATTAGAGGTGCTTGTTCAAATATCTATATAACATGAAAGTTTTGAAGGTTTTTTCTGATATTCTCTAAATTTATTTGCAAATTGATCATGAGCATCCCATCACTGTTGTTTTTTATTGTTCTTGATTCAGTAATTGCGTCTATAATTGATCTGTTGATAATTTGAGTTTTGGCCTACGGAGTTTTTAAAAAGCTTTTTTGATCTAGGTCAGATCATGTTTTATCAGGTATGATCATGTCTGGTCTAGGTGTGATCATGTCTTTTCAAGCATGATCATGTCTGGTCCAGGTATGATCATGTTAAGTCATTTATGATCATATCTGGTCCAGGTATGATCATGTCTGGTCCAGAAATGGTCATTTAAAGTCAGGTGTGATCATGTCTGATCCAGGTATGATCATGTAAATTCAGATCTGAAGTCTACCTGGGACAGGCCTGATCATATCTGGGCCAGACCTGAAGCAGACCTGATCATATCTGACTTTTTCCATGGCTATCATAGCTGTACATGTCTGATTCAGACATGTACAGCGAAAAAAGAGATATGCCACAGGACTGATACAAATCTGAAATTTGTATGAATTTTTGATGTCCAGATTTGAATTTACTACAAATTTTAGTACGGGTGAAATTTTTCCATTTTTGAAACTTTCATACCTTCATTACGAAAAGTTGCAGACCTGCTTATGATTTTTTCATTTTTTGAAGCTGCTGAAAACCCGTTATGCATTTTTGTACATTGTTGTTAAGGATTTACTTTACAATCTCCGTTCCCACTGTCAATGAAACAGAGGAGGTTGTTAAGTAGATTAACAACTTTCGACCAGCAGAATGCAGCAACATCTATACAAGTGCTAATTTACTGTATTTTTCTACAGCTAAATTACTGTATTTTTATAGGGGTGGAGATTCTTTAGTAAATATCATAGAGGGGATTGTTGTGTAGATCCGTTATCAATTTCAAATTAAAATACTAAAACGATCTTTCGTCTGTTTTGGTGGGATTTCTTAGCTGAAATTATTCCAAAACAGAATACCTTCTATTGTTTTCTGAATAAATATTTCATTATATGTAAGCACAGCAGTAAATTCTGCTTTATCATCCACCAGCCCAAATCTGAACTAACCTCTTTGAATTGTTGAAATTGACAGGAGCGTTGCAACAACAAACGCTGGCTACAAATTGACTAAAAAAATAGCTGAAATTTAAACACCTGCTGCCTTGAAAAGTCATACTTCTATCAAGTATCAAATGCATTTGTGTAACAAAATCTTAATCAGCTGCTACTCTTCATTAAATATGAAATAGATCAACAACAAACCAGCACATTTGCCTGCAACCAATGAAGTTATTGACCGCATTTAGTTTTGGTTGATGTAGGAAAATGGCATCAGCAAAACTTGCTACAATTTTTGTCTCTTTTTTGATTTTTGTGAAATATGAGTCTTCATCTCTTGATAGTGTCTCAATTCACACTCACAGGTTGGTACTTACAATGTTTTAAGCTTTCACACAAAGCTTCAACAAGTATGCAAAGTTCGTGTTAAGTTCTATAGCCAAACGAAAATTTAGTTTCTGATATTATCAATGGTTTATCAGAGTTTAGTTTTATGGCCAAAAGGTACGAATCCGTTTTCAGCTTAATGACTTTAAGACTTTTTAAAGGCGTCTTTAGTGCCATAATGCAGTAATTTTGGAGAGGAATACTTTGAAAAGTTCCCTCGAGCAAATTCTAGATCAGCACCGCTTTGCTGAAAGTTTGTTCAAGGCGTATTTTAGATTTGTGAGAAGGGGTGCTTTTTCAGTTTGCCTTAATTTCTCTAAAATAGAAGTATTAGGAAGGGGAGTTTTTTTTAGAAAAAACGTCAAATTGCCAAATTTTTGGGCACTTTATGGAATTTTTTGACCAACAAACGCGTTTTTCGGGTTCAAGGTTAGCGTTAAAATTCGTATGTAAATTCAGATATTGGCTTTAATAATGTCAGAAAAGGCAAAAAAAACGCTGGTCGGCCAAAAATGGTTATTGTTACAAGTACCAAACAAGGGAGAAAACCTGTTGGATGGGGTGAAGTAGCGTCGAGTTCGTGACAAGATGGTAAAGTTCCTAACGAGTTTCTGACCGCGTACTTTTAAATCAGTTCGGAATTTTACGACATTATATAAAACAACAGTTGCGGAGTTGTATAGAAGTAAATTTTTAAAATATATTTTTGCGTTTCTTCGAAAAGATCCGTTATTTGAATAGCTGCAATTACCAAATTTGGCTGCTTTTGTTTTATTGTTCCGTCTATCGACAAAAGTGACGGAATATTTGTGCTCGCGGTGGGTTTTATTCCAACTTTGTTAGAAAAAAGACGGAATAATTGTGCCGTGGGTGTTTTTTTTCTCCGCGTAAACATCTGATTGGTCAAACATCCAAGAAACAAAGATCCGATTTCTACCGTTCGCTTAAAAGAAGCTGAAGTAGTCGGGTAAAAACGGTTCACCGTGGCCGCGCCAACGTGTTGCGAGCTTGCCAACAGAGACCCTGAATGAATATTTAAAAAAATAGAGCCAATTAATTCCCAGTAGCGACCTTTAACTGAGTCGGCTCAATTCAAATAGGATATATAAACTATGTCTTTTTTCGAAATTTTAACGTCTTTTTATTAGATAAATATCATATAGGGTCGGATGTTTGACATAGCGGTTGTTTAAAATTTCGATTTTATAGCGTGTGGGATGATGGTTTTTGATTTTTTCATCAATATTTTTTATTCCGTAGGGCCAGCGCTCCTTTATACGAGCAGCCTTGTGGTTTCGAACATCAAAAATGGGGGAAAATATTGTATTCGTGGCTGTTTTTTTTTTCACCTAAAATCAGGCACCACAAATAGTCATCGGATTGCGTTGAGTGATATATCATATTAAGGAACTTGCAGTCATGATTCAAACCACCAAGGTTGAGAAAAACCGGTTTTCATTTTTCATCTGATTTCGAGCGAACAAAGCAAGGAAGCATTCTGTTTTTAATTGCCTAAAAGCTCACATTAGCTTAATTTGAAACGCACAAACTTAGTTTTACTTGAATAAACGTAGTTTACTTTGAGTATTTCAGCGCATTTTTGGAACCAAAATTTTCAAAACTTCAAACAACTTCAAAATTTTCTTTCGTTTTTCAAGTAATTATTCTAAAAAAAATTGTTTCTCAATTTGTTTATTTTACTATGACTGTCGAAATACCGTTTTTTTATCAGCTCTTTTCATCACACCACGCCGAAAATAAAGCGACAATACTTCTAAAAAAACGGTTGTATTTTTTAAAGGCTCTGGTCAGAACATTCTCTGTTGTTTCCAGTGTAACCTGCCATCCTTGATATTGTTTGGGATTGAATTAAAGTGTGACTGTCTGATGTTTTTTTTATTATGTACTCTTTTTTAAAATTGAAACAATTAAATTCTGAATTGCGCAGTTCTGAAGTAGCATATTTGGTTTTTATAATCTCTACTCATTTCCAGGTATGAGTTATATCGCTTTGATGTTCGTCTCCTGCCTGACATGGCACTCTCCTCTCCTCCCGAGAGGATAGTGGGTGCGATGGTGGCATGTGAGAGGAGGTGCAATGACAATCGCTTTTGTCGGGCATTCAACTACAGTCCATACTATCACATGTGCGAACTACTTGCCACCGATGCCGCACTCAGAGGCATAAATGATATAGGCAAGCGAGATATTTTTAAAACGTTTTTTGAAGTTAAGTTGCAAAATCAACGTTTTTTGAAGTGCCACATCGCAATAAAATTTAGGGACCTATCAACTTTCAATCGGAACGAAAACCAATTCACGTATAAAAAATTTGGGCATGTAAAGGAGCAATTAAAACGATTTTTGAGCTCCCACAAGACATTATAGCTCAAACTGGTCACTTCACAGAGCTTATCAGAGCTATGTGATTTAAACCAAGCGCGTAGAAGCTCGCTTGAGCTCTCTGTGATAGCTTGCCGAGCTCTGAGAGCTTGAACTTAGAAATAGATAGGCTACGTACGGGAGCAATTGAAAAAATTTTCATTAGGGAAAACTGCAATTTTTATTAGAGAATCCTTCAAAAACATTTAATTTCTTATCAACCAAAATCAAATCAGTGAAGTTTAGATTTTAGAGTTATAATTTTATTAGACAAAAATTTGCGAAACTTCGAAAACGAAAAACGCACGTAATAAAATAAGGTTACCTCCTCTAGCAGCATGTGTTCAGCTAAATGAAACGCTGGTTTGATTTAATTTGCTGGAAAATAAACCTGATAATATCATTAAGATGAAACACTGTGTTCTTTATAATCGCATTACTGGTCTCAGTAGATCACTGGAAAGTAGAGAAAAAACTGTAAATAAGTTCCGAATTATTCGTAGTTTCTGCTGAAGATTCAGCGCACACCTTGCAACGTGATCTCTAGTTAAGCGTGATAAATAGTTCTTTTGCGTTTTCCGCAACAAACCAGCTTAACAATTTCTTCTGGATTCAGTAAATGTAACAAGATTTAGCAAATTTTTTAGCGGATTCCACAAAATTAAGCGAATTCTGCAATTTTGATCATTGCACTGAACTATTTACTAACAGCTCAACAGTTAAGCGTGATTTTACTCGCACATATTTTTAAAAAATATTTGTTTGTCGGTTCTACAAACTGTCCGAATTGTAAGAATTTTGTCGTGAGTTTTGAAATATCGCTGTTTTTGGAGCGATTTTGAGCAATAAAACGTTTTAGCGATTTGTTTGTGAAAACTAAATCAAGAAAACAATCTAAGAAAAAATCCGTGCTGCGTATCTGCAACAACTCTGTTTTCACCTTGTCGCTGAAACTTCTTGCAATTGACAAAATACTCAGTTTAGCCTCGCAAGGATTCGCGTAAACTGAAGTTGTTTTGAAATAATTTCAGGCAAATTTGGTCATTTTGAAGCTCAACTGAACTTTTGAACTGCAAAATAATTTGCATGTTTGAATTTCTGACATCAGTCATTTTTTTCAGTTTAAAATACTTATGGCGAACAATACTTATGGAATGCTAACAATTGCAAAAAAAGTGTAACAAAATCTTTTTTTTTTACTGCCAGCTTGTGTTGAACTTTTTCCGAATTATGAGAATAGGAAATCACATTGATTGACAGGAAGTGCTTTTCACACAAATAGCATACAATTGTCCATATATTTTGAATTCCATTCGTCAAAAAAAATGCTTGATAATTTTTTACCCAGTATTTTAGGTACTTGAGACTTTTCACTATCATTCTTCTATAACGTTATAAAAAACCCTAACATTTTGGTTTCGATTTATGTTTTTGTTTGCTGCCAAACTTATTGGCCCCGGGTTCGAACATCTCACGTGAGCAAACAATTATCGCAGGGTAACTGCAATTTGAGGTATGCTAGGAACTAAAACTTATTTGACTTGCTTTTTTGCTTTTTCGAAGTATACGCGCTTGGGTTCATATTTTTATCCAACTTCAATGCTCAAAATTTTTCTCCTTGACGCAAACTCTTTGTTTCTTAAATCACTGTTGAATTCGTAGTTCGTAAGTGGAAAAAAATTCACCAGTGATCAATTTTGAAATATTACAATTCAATTAATTGATTGGAAAATTTTATAGAGCATTCTATTTGATTTTTAGAACCTTTATCTACTATGTTCAAAGGATATGTGCAAAGTATGAATATTTAGCTATACTCGATAAAACAATCTATTTTTTGGTGTTGTTTTTATTTTCAAAAGTTTTATTCAAGATATTTTCAAAAAGATATTCAAACAAAAAGGTTGCTTGGTGCAATATGGTTGCTATCAACTTTTGTCATTTCAGATTTTTTTTTCGTTTTTTGTCTACATTTCATTTTTTTTCTGAAAGACTCTTAAGCATAATTCAATTGATTGATGCAGTTAACTGAATTTTAGCTAAGAAAAGTTTATAAGAAAATTAATTTTTTTAAATTTTAGTTCCACGAACTTCCGCAAAACTTGGCTAAAGGAACTTTCTTGAATTTTTTATTGTTGAAAATATCTTTTCTGATTATCTACAAGTAGCAAAAATAAACACTTTTTAACTAATTCTAGCCACAAATTTTTAATTTTCCCTTGTAGGACAATTCTCCAATTTCCAATCTGTTGGCTGGGTATACCGATCACTGGGCAAATCAGTGACTAAAGGATGCTCTGGTTCTGTGTCAAACTGCACCAATGTTCAGATGGAGTCTTCTGGCGGACAGTTCACCTTCAGATGGACATATCCCAGTGACCACTCGACTGACGGAAGCAAATACGCTGTGGTAACTAGTCGCTTAGATAACAACTCTGAATCCTTATTTCTAGCTTAAAAGTCTTAAAATCAAGTCTGCTAGTATTGAGAAAAAGCCTTGATTGTTCCGACGACCCCTTGAAAATCGACAGAAAAATTAACGTTTTTTTTTAAAGTTAAAAATTGATAATATTTTGCAAAAAAATGAAATCTTTCAGATATATGTTTTTAAAATCCTCCACACTTCGTGTTAAATACAAAATGATACAAGTAGATTCTAGCAACGAGCAAACAGTTCTGAATGCATTGTTTTAAATCAAAATGGAATGAATTCTAAGCCAGATTTGATCACATCACAGCTCACGCCTTATTGGCCGTTATTTGTCGCCCATTATTTAAAATGGCAAATTTCAAACCACCATACATTTTCAATAAAAATTAGAGGTAGATCATCTTTTCAAATTTGAGCTCTGTGCATTAACGGTTTTCAGATGGTATAAAAAGTTCTATGCAAGTGGCTCGTTGAAAAGTCGAAACTCTTCTCAGGGAAATTCACACCGAGCTCAAACACTCCATCCTTCCATCGAAAGTCGGAGTAGCAGGTCTTTAGGTTCTAAGATTGATCACCAGGGTAAAAAGTTCCTTGAAAAATATCCTCGAAAAAAAATGTCCCCTAGCCTATATTTTACTCATTTTTAAAAAATTAAACTCTGAACAACCGGAAATTTACAGCCATGCAAACAATATTTGGGTCTTTTCTGTTATACGACCCAAAATATCGAACAGTTAATTGAGCGCTGATTTTCATTGAACAAGTTTAGATTTCGCTTCGCTGGTATTAGTTTCAACCAATCAGTTTCGAGCATCATGTTCAAACTTTTAAAACAGGTGAAAGTTTTTTTTTGGGCCGTATAAAAGAAAAGACCCCAAAATTTACCCAAAGAATGTGTTTTGAACGCAGCGGAACGCTTTTTGTAGTACTTTTGCTTAAAATTTGCTTGTGGCACAATAAAGTTAAAAATAGTAAAATTTTGCATCCCGCTGAGCTAATTTGGATTTATTTCGCATCATCCACCTGGCCCCCTTGGGGGTGTTAGTAGATTCAATTAGCTCATAAACTTTTTTAAAGGTTATTTTACATCATGCATTGCGAAATTTTTTTAAAAAAAGTACGCGTTGTTATCAGACATACCAGCATGTCCAAGTGACCCAACTTCTGCCAAACGGAAGTGACAAAGACTATGCTATCGTGTGGAATGATCGAAATATGGGACCAGAAGTCAGAGAAGTGACTTTCGATGGGACTATCATGAACAGCTGGAACAACTACAAAATACGCATTACGTTAGCTCGCTTACCCAAATTTTAACGATTTTGTTTGTTAATTAACTGGTGAAATGAGCTTTGCTGAAAAGCGGTTATTTAGGTTTAAACCACATTCCAATCAACGCAATCTTAAAATCAACCCGTGCAAACTAATTGGAGTTCTCTTCATTTTCATGATCAAAAATTATGTAGAGAAAAGTTTGACTTCGAGTAAACAAATGTCAAAATGTGAAAAACTACCGGTGATTTATCTAAATAGGTTATGGACAAAAATTTTTATCTAAACAAACTTTTAGACAACAGCAGAGGTTTCTTTTTTTTCCGGAGTTTGAATTTCAGCAGGTTGGAACGATCTTATTAAAAGTTTTTGACAAAAATATATCAGGAAAACTTCAAGCGACGTAATAGTTTTCAACTGCAAGGCCTCTCATTTTGTTTTCGTCTGAAAATGATTATATTAATTATGATGTTTGGGTCTTATTCACTAAAAGGCCTAAAATAAATACATCAACTTTTTTTTTGAATTGTCTCGCTATGTATAACCATTTTACCTACCATGTGACCTGGAAAATAATTAAGTATATCTTCCTTCCAAAATTTGGGCAATAACTTTCAGCAGATTGACAAATTACCTGCTCGTACTTCACTGGGAAAATGGAGACTAGTTAAAAACCTGAATCGATTCGTTCCAAGATGTGAAAGTGAAAATCCGAACTTTTTGCATGTTTTCGTCGGAATTGAGAATTTAAAAAACTGGTCGTCTTACTAAACAATCAGGAACCTATGAAGAAATGATTTCATGCAGGGTCTTCAATGCTTGCTGTATTTTTAACAATCTCCAGCTTCCTATAGGGTTTTTCCTCTCAAGTTTGTTAAGGAGAGCACTACAATGACTACTAAGACGTCTGACATGGCTTTATACCCTGCTAGCCTGATGAAGCAATCGATGCTGCTTAGGCGTCTTCAATCTTAAAAATTCGTTGACTTACGTATGGAGATCAAGTGTTTTATGACGCTAAAGCTCAAAACTTTCATTTTTGGGAATTTTTTGTGTATAAACAATGTACAATCCAGCTTGCAACCTTTAATACTCAACTTATTCCTGAAACATTTTACAACGTCGCTATTTTGAGTTTTTGGTAAGCTGTATGAAATTATTAGACCTGTGTCTATTAAAAGAAATACTAATTCAGTTTTGTTATTTTGACCTTCTAAAAAAACTCTGAACGGACTTCGGAGGCTTACAGAGTTTGCTTTAAACCAAGAACGGTTATAAAGATACAATGTCTAGATAAAGGTTGATTGATTGATGCGGGTGTCATTCCTATCGCGATATTTAAAAAATTAACGCTAACAAAAAATAATGATAAAAAAATGGGCGGAAAGTGGGACAAAACAAGCGAAGGCATTAATGACAAACAATATTTTATCCATCAAAAAACTGTAGTTGCGAAAACCACTTGTTTTCGATCACGGCCTGGAGTTTACCAGGCCTGCCAAATCAAACAAGTGATATTTTTCTTCTAAGTTTTTTTGTGCTATGCCTTGAATATTCCCCCCCCCCCCCCCGACTCACTAAGTCTAATGATGGCTCTTTTCCATTTCCCCTTTTGATTTTTTTTGAAGTTCATTAAATGGAAGTCTATTTAAAATGATATTTGATCTTATAAGCTGCATTTGCGAAGAGGGTGGGATACTGAAAAAAGCCTAGTTGATTTATTTTCTTTTTTCTTTTTTCTTTTTTTCTCACTAATTTTCCTTCTAATAAAAATTACTTTTGAAAAAAAAACATTCTAAAACTAACAAAGGTAAAATTGTAATGTTTTCTTTTGATCTAACTTTACCTAATTTGAACCTATATATACTCTAAACCTATTTTGGTATCAATTAACAAACATCTTTTATTAATATCATTTTAACTACAGGACCAGATAGACTATGATCTCTGATAACATCCAGTATGAGACTTTTTCTTAGTAACCAAGGGAATCAAAAGAATCTGCCAACGACATTTTGTTTCTTTAAGTAAAGAGTATTCTATGTTTTCGATTTTGTCTATGGCGTGCAGTCAATCAATCCTAAAAAACGTGTTTGAATAAGCAGAGCAGAGTAGATTTTTAGGGTGTCGAGAAAAAATGGCAAACTTATAAGTAAATTCGGGGGTTTGGCTGACATAAATTGAAATTGAAATGTAACTTTTAACAGTATTAAAGTTTATGATTACCGGTTCGAATGTACAGGGCTGCCATTACAAATAAGTGAAAAGTTGGGTTTATGTTTTTTTGCTCTGTGCCTTGATTTTTACTGATTTACTGTTTCGGGAACTCTTTGATTATTTTATCCTCAAGAAACTGCTTTTTGAAAAACTCTTATCGGAAGATGTTCATATCTAGTGGCACCAAGTCTTTTTGACAGATACTCGTCAGAACGGTCGAAGATTAAACGAGATTTTGCATGACTTTTCTTACATGACTTTTCTTACATATGAAAACTGCCCAAACATGTTTAACAGCATAAACAGCTTGTTGAGTAGTAAAAACGACCACGATCACTGAAAATCTATGAACCGTTTAGACTTTTGACTACTAAGGCAAGAAGCCGCCACTTGCTACTTAATTATTTAGCGGTCAGGGTTGGTCAATATTATGCGAGTCTTAGAGCGGAAGATGGAACAAAAACCGTTTTTGGGGAGAAAATAGTCCAGTTACATTTTACTTAATTTTACGCAGTTATAGGGTGGATTCGAATCCGGTCCTTACCATCTCTAGACTAGTTTTCCAACCGCATGCCCATTAAGTCTTACGATAAGTTAATTCAGTCATATTTTTAGCGTTATTTTGCTTTCAGCATTTTGGAAAAAATCATTTGCATGCAAAGTAAATGTTTTGCTACCATTATTACTCAAAAGCTACTCCGCAAAAAATGTATTTAAAAAATTATTTTGGAAACCTTACAAATAACAACAAATTATTTAAAGATAACTTGTGCTAAAACTAGTTTATGATTTGAACTGATTTTTTTTTAATTTTAGCTTAATTGTTTGCTAGTTTTCAGCCTGATTTTTATTTTCCAATTTGTATTATTTGTTGAATATCTTCAGCAATCGCTTCGAACAAGTCTCATCATTTTTATCAATAATTTTCTGGAACTTTCTGGTGTGATGATTTTATCTGCTTGGGGTTGAGTTATGCTGAATTATCATTAAAAAGTTAAGCTCTTTCTTTACTTAATGATTTCTGAAAGCCATGAGGCTTGGGTGTTTCTCTAGCTTAACTCAACCCGTTCTGATTTTACCGTGAGTAGCGAAAAAGTTATCTTCGTGTTACTCTCAATTTGAACCCGTCTTTTTCTTCTCATAACAAAAAAGGCAAGTGACTTGAAAACGTTCAAAAATATTTGGAAAAAAAAACAAAAAAACATAATAAATTTTAAATAATGTAAAAATTAAAGAAGTAAAAAAGAAACAAAAAGAAACAAAAAGAGGGAAAACGATAACTACAAATTTTTCTGTTTTAATTATTTTTTCTGTTCTGTATTTTTCATTTCTGTTAGTTAACAATTGCTTAACTAAATTTGTGCATTGGCAAACCGAAATTTGTTATCCTGTAATATTTCTCTACTTTTAAATATTCTTGGTAGCCTGGTTTCAAACGTTTCTTTCTTTTCAGTATTTTTGTTTTTAGGTATCTCCCCTTGATGCCTAATTTTGATATATTTTTTAACTGTAGGACTAAATTGCACAGATTTTTAGGGAATCAAAACCTGATATTTAGGGTATTTGAGGTTTGCCATCTTTCGGTCTTTCGTCTATGAGTACATTTTTACAACCTATTTCCAGGAAAAATTTTTTTTTGATTTTCCTGTTTCGGTTTCAATCAGGCCTCGAGGATAGACTTTGCATGCGGTTTGTCTTTCACTTTAAATTTTTTTAACGCAAAATCAACTACCATAAAAACGATGAAATTTTTTTAGCATGTCAACTCAGAATAAAGTTGACCAGTTAGTTATTTTAATATACTTGTCGGGGTTGGAATAATCTGTACTCATCAAAATAATTTCTTGTTGCCTTCTTTTTAATATCCCCCACATTGTTAGGCAAAAGGACATTTCTGAAAACTAAGTACTAAGTTAAGCCTGGAGCCATCCATTTGCTTGCTCTGGATTGCTCTGAACGGTATGAGAAAGGCGGTTTCTCCAAATATATACACAAAACAAATCTCTAGCTTACATAAGCAATTGTTTGCTGCAGTTTTTGACGACAGCTTAATCGACATTGTTACTTTGAATATTTTATAATGATTTAATATTTTACTAATAGTGGTACATTTTATTAATAGTGGTATATGAATTAGCGCAGAAAACAAGTAAAAAAACACCAAAGTCAAAATTCTTCGCACTTTTAGTGGTCGAGACAAAATTGCTTGCTAATTTCCTTTTATTTTAAATACTGCCTGACGATAACTTATATTTTTTGACATGTTCAATTATTTAAACAAATACTGAATGCCGGTTTTTTTCTCTCACTAATTTTCTTCTAACTTTTTTCTACAATTCAAAGTTCTTTTTATAGACCGTTGTTCAAACTCGACACCTTGAGACTTCAATTGCCGCTAATTGATACAGTGCTAGCTACTTCGACCCAGCCCGTGAGTCCAGCAACTACGGCGGTTTTTCCAAATTTATACAGAAAACGAATCTTTAGCTTAGATATGCAATTGTCTGCAGCAGTTTTGATGACAGCCTAATCGACATTGCTAATTGGTTTCGTGTTGATAGCATACCACTGTCTGCTCTAGATGTTGATGCTCTAGAAAACTTTAAAAGAGGCCATTTCATTAAGAAAATTGCCGATCTTTTTTAGGTCAATCATTTCGAATTTTTAATGCTTTGTTGAATGAAACTCATTTGGAAAAATTGGAAAAATGCTGCGCCATCGGCATTTTTGTGGAGGAAATGTCGGTTTTGATAATTTTTGGAAATTTTTAAAAATATTTTTTGGCGCGTATTTCCCCTCAAATTCAGTATATAGCGTCGCCCAAGAAATATTTTGCGGCTGAAAATACTCACTTATGCCGAGATTTGAGTGGCGCAAACTTGAAAAATAAGTCCCGCAAATCAATTGCATCATACATTTCACAATTTATAACTGACTGTAGTAAAATAGTTCCAAAGGGGGAAAAACTTAGAAGAACTTGGCAAGCTGGACTCATGGAAGTGTCCGGAGAATAACTCTTGGCAAACTTTTAGAGTGTCGCCTCAACTACAGCCGCCATGTGCACCGGGATCGCTTTGTGGAGTGGCCCATGACCAGGGATCATTCCAGTTGGGTGGAATGGTACTTGATGAAACTTATCTCATTGAATACTGGGTCAACGCGCCAGCACTGGGAAATGAGAACAGCGTGAGGTCGCGGCTGACGTATCAGAACAGAAACTATACCGTTGCTGGTAAGCTCAATATACGCACAGAACTTTAAAATGTATTCACGTGTTCATCTTTGCCTAATTTCTATATTTGGGATATTTTTTAACCTCAGATCTCGGATGTCTTTTAATAGTTGCTCCGACTGCCTCCTTTTACTATTTTGAGATATCCATTTTTGGGTGAGGAACCCCAGAATTTTTCTAAGGGCACACACCTAACGCAATTTTTTGGTCCAAATTTTCCAAAAAGTGCCTTAAAACGCCTTCTTGGCTTGTTTTTTTAAATTATGCACGCGGCGCAAAAAATTTGGCCAAAACAGGGTTTTTTTGGTGATCCTAGATCCGTCCTTGGCTACTTTGAAGAAAAATTTTAAGGCTGGGAAATTCAGTGCTACTTTTTCTCTCATTAATTATGAGAAAATCTTTTTTCTCTCATATATTTTATTTATTTAAGATTGATCAACTAGCAAAAATTGTAATTTTGTGTAGACTTTGTGGACAAAACAATGAAGGTAGCAGGAAATTTTTTCGTAAAACTATTTCGTGCAAATAGATTTTAGGAAAACAATGGGAGCTGCATTGTTTGTTGAGATAAGATCAAGTTTTCCAAGTTTAACTCAAGTTAGATCTAGAATCAGCTACTACTGCATAGATTCGAGTGATTCGATGCAAGATCTATGCAGAAACTGAGAAGTCAGTAAATCGGTATATCAGTAAAACAAAAACAGCGTCTCAGATCAAAAATTTTAAATTGTCTCATCTTTGTATTCCGATTTCAACTTTTTGGTGAAGGCAAGATGGAGTGTTAAAATGTAACGCCCCGGACAAACTTTATTGTGAAAAAAAAAACAGATTATGAACAAGAATGGCCAGTTGCTGTGAAAGTGCCACCAAAAATTCCAACCACAGATATGTTTTTGTGGGTTTAACAAATCAGCTCAACGCTTACTGGAGTTTAAACAATTACAAATTGAATATAATTATCTTTGCAAAATTGCCAACAAAAAGACAACAAATTTTTTTTTCAAAAACAATTTTAAAATTTTCATATCTTTTTTCATAATTTTTTTTCGGATTCAACTTTTGCAACTGTTTGGGGCAGCGCAAACTAAACTTCAAAACCACTTTTTAAATTGAAAACTATTTTTTATATATTTAAATTACAAACTTTTTGCGTTACTCGCTCGCTTCACTTGCTACAATTTAGACAAACAGTTAAAGTTCAAAGATTGACTACAAAGGTTCAATTTTGATATTTTATTCAACCCATTTTGATGAGAATTTGTGGTACCTGATTTTGTTGGTAAAAACTGTTTCAAACATATCCGAATATAGTTCCTCACCACTTTCAGTAGTTGTAACAAAAAAACGCATTTTTGAAGGTCGAACAACTTAAATTTGAATTTTCTAGCTCGGCGTTGACAATTTCCAAATTTTTTCAAGTTGCAATTTCCGTAACTAATGAAAAGTTTGATTCCCTTCCCCAGGCAATAGTAACGAGAGGCGACTAAAACGGTTCCTTAGATATTTTATACTAATCGGACATACACTTTTTTTATAACCCCAAAAAGACATGGATGTATTAGCAAAATGTATATTACTATGCACTAAATAAACTAAACTTGAGAATAATAACTTACTAATTCTGGTATCGCTCGAGTGGCGTTTGTTTGTCTTTTTTCCTTACAATAACACTAAAAATATCAACTTAACCATATACAAAATTTGATACTATAATAAAACTATTTAGAAAAAATTGCGATTAAGAAAACTCAACTATATTATGTTTGAAGAAACTATTTCTTTAAATGCGCCCGAGGTTTAAATCCCCCAGAAAAAATCCCCACAGTACCAAATACCCATCGCACAAAACCGCCCAGTGTTTGTTTTAATATCCCCCCATTAACATTAGGCAGAAATGCAACTCGGAAAACTGAACTACACCTTATCATCTCAATTAGCATTAGGAATAAAAGAGAAACATAAACAGAACTAATTCAAAAACAGAACAATTGCTTACATGAAAAATCAACAGAGATAGCTTTTAAATATTCAATTTCCTTGTAATTGACCGCTGAACATATTATGCGTTTTATACGCCCAAAGTTACCTTCTTTCCTCACGTGTACTTTTTTCCCGACTGCAATTGCGATAAAGTATAGGCCTGCAATGGTCGTTGTCTTTGGATGGCTTCGATGAATTTCAGATATCTGGGTTTGACATCTCTAACATCGATTCAAATCCGCGAAGTCAATTGTACAGAAATAGACACTCCACTTAGCTCTACGGAATCTGGCCTTCTTTCGTGAAGCGTTTCACTTTCCCTTACGACGAAAGTATCCTCAAATAAGTTTTCGATGCCCTCTGGCATTTGCTAGCTATGGATCACGACTTTTATGACTCTTCTACATGCAGTGGCGGTGCAAAAGCAAGCGCAGCTAAGAGGCGTATAAGTTGAAATCTTTGTCCTCTCGATGCTGAGCGGCATAACCGAATTCAAGGATCTTTCGGTAAACGTCCTGAGGAAAATGAAAGAAACATATCTTTATTTCGGTTTCTGAGAAGTTGTCTCCCACGGAGATTATCGAAGCAATTTCGAAGCCAACTGGCATGTTCCTCATTTTTACTGGTTTTAGATACATATTTTCGACGAAGCCTTTCTCTCAGACATTTTACAACAACAATGGGAAGCACGCTTAAGATGGAAAGATTTTTGAGCATAAAAGGAGCAGTTTAGGGCATCAAACAATCTCTCATCAACCAAGCAGATTCAGTTATAATAAATGCAGTGTATTTAAATTTGAAAAACCGTTTTCGGGGCAAGCAAGCATTATTATACCGAATCTGAGGCTATACATATAGGTTAGGGACTACGAAGAGGAAGGTCGAAATTTTTCAGCTAGGGAAGAAGCATGTAACATTCGACACATTTTTGATTACAGGCCACTTCGATGTCACCCATTCTGGTAATCTCAAATTGTGTCCTAATATTCTTCCAATCGTGCTGCAAGTTGACGGAGCCGGGCAATATGACAGAGTCAGGTTCTTTGATGGTACCGGAAGTGAAGTAATGGGTCCGATCCTTGTGGGAGACGAGTTAGAGGCGACTCAGTATGATTCGACTGTTCCCCCCAAATACTTTGTTTCTATTTTGGACGGTAGCCAGATAAATCATAAAATTCATGTAAGAAATGCCACTGTTATTATGAGTGGGTAGATTAACGCGAATCTTCAGCTCGACTTCGCGAGCCTAGTTTTGGTTTGATGGATTGATGGAATGTTACTGATAATATTGGGCTCTTTCCAACTCCCTCCTTTTTCTCAAATTGGGTTTACGGAAGCCATTTTAGGGTGACTTTGCGACTTTGAGCCAACCTCGGCTATTTTACTGTGGAAGGAAGCAGCAAAAAAATCCCTTTTTCTGCAAAAGGCAAAGAATTTGTATGTTGGTTTATGAAAAGTGAAAAAGTAATACTAACACTGTTCACTTTTTCAGGTTCAGCTGCTTAATTCTGCTACCGACTATTATGGACCTCTGAAGATGTTTACAGTGCTGGATGCTGAATTCTTAAAGAAGTCAAACAGAACAATCAAGTAGGATTTTTCAAAGTTTTCCTTATTCTTATAGCAAAAAAGCCAGAACTTTTGAGTAAATGGCAATTGCAATTGTATAATTTTGTCAGAGTTTTCTGCTCTTTAGGTTGTGTGTTTTTACGGACAGCGGAGGAGGTGGAGAACTGAGCGCAGATGAAAGCGTTCTTGCGTTAGTTGGAACACATTTCTAGAGACCCAAATAGTTTCATTCAGTAATATATAATTAAAAACAAATACTGTTTTGCAGCGAATTCAAGAGCCCATTACCAGCTAACGATACACTTTGTGAAACAATTATATCTGGATATATAGAGGAGGGTAAGCTACACCTTTATTTAACAGAATATCAACCAATGTTTTTTCGATAAGAAAAATTTGACAGACTGTGTATCTAAGTTGGTCAATATCGGTTCTTTTTCTTTAGCATTGCAGCAGTATAGAAACAAGATAAGTTTGGTAAAGCGAGGAAGCTCGCATATCAAGGCAAAACCCAATTGACCTTTATTTTGTCTCCAATATTTTTTCGATAAGAAAAATTTGACAGAATGTGTATCTAAGTTGGTCAATATCAACTCCTAAAAATTTGACTTTGTGTAATCAAGCGAGTTAACACGACCAATAAGCTGGCAAGAAACGCTCACATAAGGACGAGATAGTACGTGATCTGTTCATTTCCAATATGAGAAACATTACAGTTCAAGATAGGTTAACATTTCACACTCTTTCACCAGAGGAGAGGCTCACCAGGGCTATCAAGTTTGAAGAAAGTAAACAGACAACAAAGGAATTTCAAAAAATAAACGCGATAGCACCTGCAGGAGCAACAACTACTTCGAATACGGGTACCACATTCAAACAAAAACCTAACTTGGCAGTAGGAAATTCAAACCGAAGAAAAATAAAGCCCTAAAAACTGGATTCCAACAAAAAGCAAAGCAATTACAGAAACACGATTTCAATTACGCAGAAAAAACCGTGTAACAGACGCAGTAAGGATTTCGTAGAAGGGTACTTGAAAAGCTGTCCAGCGATGGGGAAGACATGCAAAAACTGCAACAAACAAAGTCACTTTCAAACATGTGTAGATCATAGCAAGTAACTGAAGGTTCGGAAAGGTCAGATGAAAAATGAATCTTCAATTTGTAGATTTTGATTTTTGTGACGAACTTGAGTTTATGTCAGTTAAATCAAACATCTAAGGTAGAGAAAGAATCTCAAAATACGCGCAAGAAAAACTTGCGATCATACCGTTAACTAGTCTAGGAATGAAGAGGTCAAAAACCAATAAAATGAAGTCGCTGAAGGCAATAATGCTGTTAGAAAATTGGACAATTCAACTAACAGTAGACACGGGCAGCTCAGTTTCGTTTCTCAACTAGGCGACAACAAAAAAGGTTAGCGATAAATTCCGAAAATCAAGGCTTAGCCAAGCGGAAAAGCTCAATGTGGCAGCAAATTATGACGATTACAACAAGCAACCGATTATCGTTCTGAGATCATTGAAAACATATTAAATATCGGCAGGCTTGGTGGGAGATGAACGGTGAAATTTTTTTTGTCTCAGAAAGAAAAAACAGATGCATGTTGGGACTTAAATTGCAGGGTCAAATAGGTATCTCTCTACCACACAACGGCCAGCCACAAAGGAGTCGTCCAGTTTTTATGTAATACTATAAAAACAGTAGAAAAAATGGAGATAAAATGTTTCAATAAAACTTCAACAACTGTTATAACGACAGGGTAGCTCATATAGTTATTTCGAAGTTCAAATATCGCTTTTGCCCAATTCAAGAAAAAAGGAGGAGAATTCGTTTTCACAATTCAGGTTAAAATTCAAATTGTATTGACAAAAACTGTTACCGGAGGGACACATCGAGAAATTAAACAAGTGTAACCATGACTGCTTCATCTCATTGCTTGAAAAAAATGATTCGATCACTTTCGCATTAGATGCCAAATCAATGAACCGGCAATCGTTCAACAACAAAAAAAAAAGGCAAATATTGACAGACTGTTCGACGTTGTGAGCCAAATTTTTTCTGAAGAGAAAATCGGTTTGTTATGCTTTACTGTACTGGACTTGAAATTTGCATACTTTTAGTTAAAAATGTTCAAATTGTTAGTTAGTAATTTGAACACAGGAAGTGGTAACACAACGGGATTCTTTAGATTCTTAACGGGTTTTTAAACTTCAGCGGACCTGCCGGCCAAACTCCAAAAAACCATGGATAAACTTGTTAGCAAAAATATGAAAAATTCCAACTGGAGAAAACTCAACATTTAAGATTTCGCAAGGCAAAATTTTTTAAAACCGAAGTAGGTTAGTTGAGTCACCGCCTATCAATATCGGCGGTTTCATCAAAAATCACAAAAATTTAAGCTATGTCAAAATTCAGCCACGCAAGAACATTCAAAAAAACTCCTGTCGTTTTTAAGTAGTTTAAATCATCTTTCTAAGTTTTTACTAAACGCTACGAGTCAAAATGAAAAACAAAGACCGCTACTAAAAGAAGAAAACCAAAAGAAAAATTTTAAAAATGAAACGTCCCGTGAGAAATTTCAAATGGGGAGACTAACTCTTAGTTATCTTTGAAAACAATAAGTTAGCAGTTGAAAAAAATTGTCAAGTACAATATTACGACACAAAAAACAGGAATCAAGTTTTTTTGGCTGTACTGGACTAAGAACTCTTTAGAACAAAAAAGAGAAGGAATGGGTACCAATATGATTCGTCTCCTGATTTCCAAACACCAGAAAGAAACGAAATATTCGACGAACGAATTGAAACGACGAACAAAATTTTCGACGAACGAATGCTGTATATAGGTACTTGATACTGTTTTTTGCGCTGTAGGTAATTACAATTTCTCCTCGACTTAAAAAATACTATTGCAACTGATCATAAATCCCTAACCTCGGCGCCGGACGGAAATAGGTCAAGTAAGAAAGATAATCTTCTTAACTGAACCGTTGTTTAGATAGGTTGTAGCACTATCAGTTTAAAACCGTTGACAATCCGAGCAAGAATATGGGGATATTAAGTTATCTATCCGGTCAACCAAGTGTGGACCCGTGGATCGAATCCAAACTAGACAAAAATTTTGTAGTTAGGGCAATTGATGCCTTTCACAGAGTAGATGACTGCATGAGCTGTAGGCGAGCAGAAATTGTTTTGGTCAACCGGAACGAAAACTTTTCAGAACAATCTAGAAGGTTGGGAACAAGTGAAGTACTCAACACGTCATCCAACAGGGGCTAGAGCTACCAAATTGGTCAAAAACGTATGGAGCGCGACCGGAACGAATTAAATCGATCTACAAAACTGCAAAACAATAGCTCTTGATGGCAAATGAAAAATTTCATACATTTTAAACTCGGAACTTAGGTGGCAAGAAATCAATAAAAAAAGATAAAAAGGATTCAAACGGAAATTCAGCAAAGAACACAAAAATTATGATTTTCGGTCGGACGCATCCAAAAAAATGGAGGAGAGAGAGAAGTGACAAAAGCTTGATGGAGCCAGGCTGGAAGAGGTCCTTGAGACTGAAACCCTCCAAAGAACACAAAAAAATCAGAGGAAGCATTAAGATTCAGGGTAGCTCGGAGAGTGAAACGAGACAACCATAATGCAAAAACAAATGAACCTATCCAACGAAGATGAAAGAGAAGCGGGCAACCAACTGCTGTAATTCTGAAAATTATTTGAGGGATCTAGCCAAATACCCAGTAATGACCGCGAACTAGAGGCTACTATAGAAGAAATTTCATTCGGAGAAATTCAGGCCAAATCGGAGACTCCCACCCAAGACCCAATCCAAGTGATGGGAGTCCATCTCACTATCACTGAAGAAAGCGAAATGGACACTGATGAAATTAACCTCAAAGAACCACCACGCCGAATTAGCTACTTAATTTGGAAGGATAACTTTCGGCTGTTGGAGCAGCTGGGAGAAGAAAGCATTTCAAATCTTTCGAGAATGTTCGGCAAAAGTCTACTAGTGGAACTCAGCTCTGAAGACGCGTGGATGGAAACACTTAGAATAGTGGTTGAAAGAGGTGACAACCAGGGGTTTGAACTCATGGGACCATACACAAACCCACTCTGGAACCAGTTGGCAGTTATCGTCAACTTCATGTTGGTCGACAAGCGTCTTGCGGTCTCAATGCAGCTACATCCCGCTGTCATGAAACGAACACTTAAAGGGAATCCAGACCAGGAAGTATTGTTGGGCGTGTCGCAATACCTGTGGTCGCCCACATGCACAAACACACAGTAAACCTTGCAGAGGATTGTAGAGCTGCACTAGGTAGCGTAAGAACGCTAATTACCTAATCTCAAAAGACGACGCAAAACTTTTACCACTGCTGACGCTGCCGGGTCAAGAACTACAACTAGATTATGCGTGCTCGTTAAGAAACCATCAGGAGAAATATTACACCTGCTGGTAGCTATAGACCAATTTTCGAGTATTCCGTCGGTAAAAACCATTAAATCAACTAGTAGAAAAGTAACGGTGAAACTTCTATGAAAATATACAGACACTAACTGTATACCAGAAACGGTTAAGCTCAAATATTTCTGAAGATTCGAAGATAACAATCTGTCTAGTTCCAAAAATCTAGTTCCGAATATAAAATTCTGCAAAATTGGGGATAGTTGAGGACCACAGAGGGTGCGAATTAGTCAAACAATCAACTTAGGTTTTAAAGTGAAAACTTGGTTTGATGTTACTCGACAAAAACAAAAAAACTCAATAAAAATTTGTCTCACTACGATCGTTCGGTATCTCAGATAGAAGAAACAAAAATCATTTTGAGTATCGCCATTCCAAGCACTTTTTGGGAGACTAGCGATAAACGAAGTTCAGAAAATTGGGGGCAAAATTATATAGAAAAAATGGTCGTTCAGCTAAAAAATACTTGAACCGATCCGACATGTTGGCATCTCAACTCAAACGAACGATTGACCAGTCAAAAAAACCCAAAACCGTCAGAAAAGGAACTTCGAGTCGGGACAAAATTGCCATTTTTAACAATAATTGTCCACAGCGAGATAAGAAGATTGATTGAATGAAAGCGCTCAAGAATCTACTGGAAGCAAACGCGAAATGGAATGAGGAACCACGAGAAGTGCCAGAAAATGACATCAACCGAATCGAAGATCTCACTTGATAATCAAATTCAGATTTCAAGGAAGAACTGATATACTCTTGATAGAGATGGCTCATCGAAGACAAAGAAAATATACAACCAAACTCTCCTAGATGATGACACTACGGCAGATGAGAACAGAAAATGATGAAAAACTACTCACCAAACCTCTGAAAGGGAGAATAGCGTCCCAAACAGACTCTACTTTCAAACCAACTGGTGGAACGAGTTATGGTGGTGCTTAAACGAAAACCGAATTTGTTCAACGAAACAACGCAAGGATCTCGCAAAAGCCCAAATGCGGAGCCAGCGAGAAATATTTTCAAAGCAAGAAAACAGGAACAACTAGAGGAAATTGAATTGGATGGAGAGGAATGATTGCGCCAACAGCTCGAGCAAGCTGATACAGAAATTCCAAACGAACTTTTTCAACAGAGCCAAACGAACGTCATGTCAAAAGAAAATGAAATGCTCAAAATTTAACACAGAAGGCCAAAATTAGCAGCTACTCTCAAAACTCAAAAGGAAGTCATACGGAAAAAATCAGAAAAACGAAAACTCATCGTACGAGAAGCGAGGAGAGAAGAAACTCAGACGACAGCTTACGAAACCCAAAAGAGGAACGCAAATAAAATAGAGAAAGACGTGGAATGACGTGTGCGTCAGATGACTCGAGCATGGAAGATCAGGGGGTCCGAAGTAGTTCCGCCGACAGAAAAGAGTAAAGAACGGCTAAAACTTGGAGGCCCAATAAAACACCCAGTAGGAAGAATTGTCAGGGGGAGGCGTATTGCAAGCAGCGCTGGCTGAATACAGGGAAAAATTAGTCAAATTCAAGATTAGAAATCAGCGTCCTATGAAAGCCAGGCTGGGAGTTCTAAAGCGGCACTTTTTCTGGAGGAATTATGGGTATGCGACTCTTGTAAAGTTGTCTGGTGGTACCATAGCTAGCTAATTGAGCTAATTGAGATTTGAAATTAATCATTTCATAAATATTGCAGCTTACATCAGAACTCAAACAAAAAGTTCTGAGTGAAATCTATCGTTATTCTCAAAATTACATATGTAAACTAGTTTTAAAAAATGCTGCCTTGAAGGGAACGTGGTACTGTGCTAGAATAAACTTGAATTGTATATTAAGGTAAACTTTTATGGTCTGTTACAGGGGCGGATCTAGGATTTTCTCGAGGAGGGCGGATTTTCAAAAAGTTTTCGAAAATTTGTCGACCTTTATTTTAGGTCGACCGAATTGTGATTTTTCGAGCTCTCCCTAAGCAGTCCCTGTATTGTCCAAATTTTGTGCACCGCAGGCAAAATTTTGAAAAAAGTCTAAAAAAGGCAATTTTAGGCACTTTTTGGAAAATTTTGACCAAAAAATTACGTTTTTTTTTCAGCGCGCGCTCCCCCCTCAAAATTAGTATATATTGGAGCCAAAGGCGCCTTTAGAAAAATTTAAAGGTCGGTCGGCCAAAAATGAATTTCTTAAAAAGTACCAAAGAGGGACCCTTTGGGTCGGCAGGGGGTCGAATCTCTGAGGAGGGGGAGGGTGTCCGCCCCCCCCCTAAATCCGCCCCTGGTCTCTTATGTTTATGTGATAGTTATTTTACGGCGCAAGTCTGCAGTAGAAGATATGAACATCAGAAGTGAATTCAAATATTTCTGGCTACAATTGTTTTACCTAAAACAAAGTTCGTTAGATTATCACCCATGTAAAGAGTATTTTTTATGAAATACTGTCAGTTTTTATTTGCGAGTGTGTTAATCATCATTGAAGCTGATTACTCGATAAATCAGGTTTTTTAATTCATAGTTGGAGTGACAAAGAAACCGGCTCTGAAGTTTTCGCTATCCACCGAAAAAAATGCCAGCTCTCCTCAAACTCCACTTCATATTTGCTTCTATGTTTTTACTTCCAATTACTTAATCCAACTTTACAGCCAAAAACCAGAGGTCCAACTTGGGGTGACAATTCGACAAATGGTCGTAAAAGACCATTTGAGCGGACAGCTTTGACAGTTTTTTTTTCGACCAATTGACAAACTGACGCCTCACGTTGTACGGATATCGTATGAAGGAAGGGAATTACCCCTTTTCAGATAATCGAACCCCTGGCTATCTGCAGGGAAGCCCTTTTATTAGTTGGTACTAAATTGGTTGAAGTCAAAACTTTTCAAAACTGCCTCAATTGTCCATTTTTTTTGTCAGTCAAAAGTATTCAATTTAAATTTAGTTTGAGTCACACGGGATACACTCAGTATCGTGCCGAGAAGGGGTGGCGATCACTGCGACCACCTAACCTCCCCCTTCTCCCTCATTTCTGGTTGTTAAATTTTTCTGGTTGCTAAATTGTTTTTTGGTCAAACTTTTTTAAAAGCGATCAAAATTTGCAAAATTTGCCTGGGGTGCAGAGAATATTCGCAGAGCTCGGAAAATCAAATTGATCGACCTACAAAAAAGCTGCACAAAATTTTCAATTTTTTTTTGAAAAACCGCGAACCCCCCCCCCCCCCCCCCCTTGAAAAACTTCTGCGCACGCCACTGGGTGGAGGTTTTGTGATTCAACTCATATACGAGTTTCAATGTTTTGCTTAAAATATTTGTTTTAGATAGTTTGGAAGTTTTGAGAAATAGCTACATTTATTCAAGTAATCTTTACGCGAATATCATTTCTTTTTTATAGAAACCAACGTTTGTGTCGACCTGATTTGCAAGCCGCCTGTTTGCCCCGAAGATATATCTACCTTCTACAGGTATTTTATTTTCAGCGTAACACATCCTATAACTATCTCACGCAAAAATACGGGAATGAGTTGAAGTTCTTAATGATCATAGTGATGGAACTATACATGTAGAGATATGGCATACTTCGAAGCTTGAACATTTGACATCATTTTTCTGCTGAATATGGAACTTTTATCCCGTCACAAAACTTATTTCTAGAAAAATGCTAGGATTGAAAAAAAAAAATTTTCGACGATGTTCTTCGTACACCATATAGAACTTCACATTAAAAATTTTCCCAGTGATTAATTGAAAAAAAAGTCATAATATTTTTAGTGGCGCAACAAGATACAATTTTAGCGCTGCGGTTTGCAATTTGAGCATGCTAGTTGGTCATAGTTTAAAGGGATCTAGTTCGATGAGCACTTGTCTGCCTAAAAGCTAAACTTCCGGCATAGGTTTCCGGCTGATTGACTAAAAATATTTCTTCTAGTCAATGGTGTTGTTCTTCTAGTCATCAAAATAAAAACCAAATCGCCCGGTTTGATCTCCATGCACAAAAATGCTTGTCATACAACTTCATACAAGAAAATTGCTCATCATACAATGTCATACATTGAGTGTAAAGAAAACTGCTTATTAAACAGTTTTTGTAGATGAAAAATGTATAATAAGTATTCTTTTACATGGCTAGAAATACTTCCCGAACTAAAATCTTCAAATTTCTGGGGAGAGTTTTTTGTTGCAAAATCTGTTCTATGATTTAGAAAAAAAAACAATTTCCGAAAAAACTTGGATGCCAAAATTTGTATATTTCTGTAATAACGTAGTCATGGCAGATTTTTTGTACAGAGAAATCAAAAGTGACTATGAATTTTGTAAGAATCAAAATTTATTATTTTCATGTTTTCGCATGATAAGATAAATTTTGTTTTGTCAAAAAAAGATGCCAATTTTGAACCACTAAGTTTTTTTTGTAGTTAATTTTCTAAGCATATAGACTTTATTTTCTAGCCATATTCAAAAAAATAGTGTTTTTTTCTTAAAATACTGAGTAAAACCTAATGCATGGACTCTCTCGGCGAATCTTTAAATGCAGTTCACTCTAGTGGCGCGGCTTAACAAAAACTTTGGCCGCGCAATTTAGGAAAAAAAACTGGCAGTGCGACTTCAGAAAAAACTGGCGGTCCCAGTATAGAAAAGACTGGTGGTGCGACTTTAGAAAATACTTCGGCGGCGCGATTCAAAATAGACTTTGAGCTGCAGCGTGACTTAAGATAAAATTTTGCCATGTGGTTTAAGGAAAGGTTTTTGCGGCACGACGTTACATCCTGTATCTTAGAAGCCGTAACGTGACTGAAAAATATCGCATGCTTTATTGTCCTTAGTTTTTAAGATAAAATCGTATTCATACTTACAGATGTTTTATTTTCGTTTTTTTTAAGTATAGTTATAGGTCAATTTTCTTGTTTATTTAATAATGTTTCTCAATCAAACTTTTCTGCGCAGTATCGGTTCTCGATTTTTGTCTACGATCCTTTCCTATCATCTTAAAATGCTCGACTCAGTCAGAATTTTAAAGTCTCGCTGTGCTGTTTTCAAAACTCTAGGGTGACTAAGAAAGAAATAGCGGCGTGACTCAAAAAAAGCTGGTGACACCCGTTAACTTAAGAGAATATTTTGGTGGCGTGACTTAGGAAAAAATTTTGGCGGCGCGGGTTAAGAAAAGACTGAACGGCGCGATTATAACCCGCGGTTTGACTGAATGTTTTGATGTAAAAACGGTATGCGGTGTGACTTACAAAGTGTTTCCTCCATTCGCGGACCTTGACCTGTGCCGTATGTACAATTTTCTGATTCGATTCCTGTTTAATTACCAACAATCAGCTATTTACGTTAATTTAAAAATGGATTGGAAAGACTTGTTTCTGGAACAATAAAAGAAGTTTTGGGGTCATACTTCTAAACGAAGTTTGTAATGAGGCCATATTTTGAATGAGTGCCATTTTTGGTTTCATTCAGGGGCGGATTTTTTTTTGGGGGGGGGGACGCTCCCTTCCTCAGGGATTCGACCCGCTGCCGACCCAAATTTTGGCCAAATCAGTAACAAAACAGTGCTTTGGGAGAGCTGGAAAAAAAAGGTCGACAAAAATTTCAAAAATTTTTTGAAAATCCGCCCCCCCTCGAGAAAGTCCGAGATCCGCCCCTGGTTTCATTTATAGGTTCTCGCTGACGATGATAGGAGATGTTAAATGGAAGATCGACGACGAAACTCTTCTTAAGGTCAAAATTATACCCCAGCAAACTGAACTGAGAATGAGTCTGGAAGATATAGATACAGAAAAAAATGAAGTACACGACATGCAGTTCGATAGAATGATCGGAAAAAAATAAAAGAATATAATCAGTGTTGATAGAGATCGCGTGTTGGGCAGAATAAAAAGCAACCAGTCTTACTAAAAACAGCGTTCAGGGTCCAAAAATACCCGATTTTGATATATTTGATTGCATAAGTTTGACAGATAGAGTCTTCTATACTTTATTTTACGAAGTGGCTTGACAATTTCCATGGCATTTGATGTTCCTGGAATGATTTAAACTTATGAATATTTCATGCTAAAACTGCGATTGCTGCCAGAAAGCGTGTGACTTGTTCATGGTGTGAATATATAAGTTTTCTTAGTTATTTTGGATCTAATGTTTCTTTTTCTATAACCTTCAGCGAGAGCTCGATTAAATTGGAACATACACTATCGAGTAAAAGCTTGTATATCCAAATTCCTTTCTGGATCATTTGAAGTATTTACCTCTAAGTCAAGGTTAAAACTATCATCTTAACAAAATTGAAGGCAATTTCCGCTTTGTTTTTTATTTACTACTAATTGTTCCTCGATTTTTTCTCGAATTGCAATAAGTCCATGATTTAATTTAAGAGAGTGGTCTCTCTTTGTCAAAAATTTCTGCTCAAGGAATCAATTTTATTGCATCATACTTATTCAGTCTGCAATTTCTTTCGAGACTCGATTTGATTTAGGAAGGAAGTTGGTAATAACAAATGTAATCTTAACTATGAGCTTGTAAACAGTAAGGTTTTGGAAGTTTCTTAAAGGAACTTTGTAAAATATACTCAATAAAAGTCACTCTTTGATTCTCATATTTCTTTGTTTGGTTAATGAGAATAGTTATATTTACAATTCATGCTTTTTCATGTTACTATTATGCGCACTTTTCTCAGGAAACCAAGAATGATAAAAAAAATTACAAACAAATGAAAAAGAAGAAATTGAGCAGACTCCAGATTCTATTTTGGAAAACGAACACATATTATACAGTTTTCGCTTTTTCTCGGCTATTAAAACAGTAATATACGAGTTAACACTCGATATAAACTTTCAACAGAACAGTACCTAGTACTTGAGGTAAACTGTTTTTTTTTCTGCGGTTAGCTTAATCAAGCTTGAACCAAAGTCGGCAAAAAACTTGAAATCGGTTGTTTTGTAAGGGCATATTCATGTCCTCCGACAATAGGGCCATCTCAATTTGGGGTCTATAACAATTGAGCCGAGTATTATAGAAATGAAGCTCGCAGTGATCATATTAAGGGTGGATCGTGCACAGCCGTATTCTCATGTTTTAAGCTCAATGATTCGGGTGAGGAATTAAACACCGCGAGGACCAACAGGTAAAATCACCCAAACAATATCACTAGTTAGGAGTTACATCAGATTGCGTGTGACAATTCACTGGCTTTTTCAGCTACGGAAACTGTAGGCGTTGCCAACGAGCACAAATAGAATTAGTGTGCGAAATCGCTCGTACGATTTTTTTTATTGTTGTCGACAAAAAATGTTTACGGCTCTTCAGTGCTTGACTACTGCTTGGAATATCGTAGATCATGCGCCCAACACTTCAATTGAGGCGCCGCATGAACTGCTGACATGGGATGCATCTGGCGCAAAGAACTTCCATTTAGCTTTTTTTAGGTGCAAAAACGGAGGCAAATATGTTGTTTTAGTTTTATTTTACTGCCAACGATACGATTTGTGTGGAACTTTTTTTTATCACCACTGATACAATTCCAACAAAACAGCAACCGTTGTACCGTGAATTGCAATAAAACGTCTCACGTATATAAACCCTCAGGGTGAACAGCCCTGGTAATGAAGCAAAGAAACATTTGATGCTTCTACGAATGTGTAAGTAAACGGTCCAAAATGAAACCACAGCTAAATAGTTTAAGCGTTTTCTGAAAAATCCTGGGCCACTGAAGAGACATCTACCCGACTGTATTGTTCGGCACTAAAAAATACTTGTATGCTTCGTGCGGTCCTAAGGTTACTACTCTTTAGGCGGTTCTAATTCCTAAATGACTTCCGTTTGTTTAAACTATAAACTATCGATAGTTACTCAACAAAATATTAGCAAAGCTATGTGGTGCACTATTTTTTCTAATTCTAACAATTATTGAATTAGTTTTTGTTACCCTTTGTATGCACAGGTATCTGCCTAGTTATGGTATCTATGGTGTCATAAAAAATTTTTGAAACAAATAATTTTCACGAGCCGTTCTTTTTTAAGTTAAATTGTTTGTAACTTAATTCTGTCTATTGACGTATCAGCCAAAGAACCCGGCGAAATACTTTTAAAAAAATTCACACAAGCGTTATATGTTCTTTGTATGTGACTTTTACTAAAAATTTTCTCATCTCAATCTTTAATACAAAACTTTGACATAACAATTTTTGTAATATGATCAATGAAGGTAAGCTTAGTATCAGTATGAAATCCTCAGTAACGGTAAGATTGTTTCACTTCGAAAACTGCTTAGTTCTATTTACGATTGAATTTGAGGTTCCTCTTTTTATACAGTACCATTGTTTTTTTTTGAATTCCATAAAAATCAATTTGATTTTTGTTTGCCGGCAACATGCTGCTTTGAGAAAAAAATTTTGGTGTTTACCGGTTAGTTCACCGAAATTTGTTTTTGTTTTTGTTTTTATGACAGTATCGTCTGCATTTAAGATAAATTTTCTTTCACTTTTTCCTCCAAGTTAAAACTTAATTATATAAAAGATGAAGAGAAGCGTGCCTAATATGAATCCCTGTAGAACTCCAAAAATTATGTTTTTTTTTCAAGATCGCTTGGCATGAGTAGCAAGGTTCTCGTTTTTCAAATAGCATTTCAAAAGGTCCAAAACAGGTCCTCAAAACCCATTTGAGTCATTTTGTTCTAATATACGCGTGTGTTTATCTGTATCAATATCTGTTAAGATCAAAAAAAGCGCACTGTGTTATTTTGGTCTTGACGCGCTTTTTCTATAATGATCAAAAAAGCAAAGATTGTGCTTCTTTTTGAAGTAAATCTAAACTAAAATTCTGTGAAATTTGATACAATATGAGATACTCATCACTCGACTAACAATGATCCGCTCAAAAAAGTTACCTAAAAATAGTAAAAGACAAAATGGCCTTTAATTTGAATAGTCCAGTTCATAACCTTTTTGTGAAGAAAATTATTTTTTTTTGATTTTTAGAATAAGTTGGAAAATATTGTTTAGTCGGACATAAAACTCTATTCAAACCTGGGAGCAAAACTGGATTGAAGGCGAAAGTGATCAAAACTATACTTATTTAGAGTGAACATGGGTTTTAACGATTCGAATATGTTAGATATTTCAATTTCTTTTTGGTCTGCCAAATACTAAACAATAAAGTGATACTGACTTTTGATTCCTTCTATTTATTGAAATTACTGATCATTTTTCACTAATATCTGCAAATAAGTCGTTAAATTTATCCACGTGTTTTCTTCCAAGTCGTTGTTTTTGCTGGGAGATGTCACAAATTTTTGTGAAGACACAAGTTTTTCATGTGTGACTTTTGGGTTCCAATTGTAGCTTGTTTTGAAAAACAAAATTTTTTCTTTTTCTGGTTCAGCATTTTACAAACTAAATTGGTTCAAGATTCAAACTTTCCTCTGACCCGTTGATTCCTGTTGAAAAAAGATTTCCTTAACTTTTGTACTTGCGACGCTGCAAGTTTTACTTTATTGTCTGCCCTTTACTTCAAGGTTTTTCTTGTTTTGACGTTTTTGGGTAAAAAGGATTCAAAGTTGATGCTGATCTTTTTGTTTAACAATAAAAAATTGATAGCAGCTCATTTTTTTTGAACTTTGGTTTCAACAATATAAACTTTCATGTGATTCGTGTTTCAAAAAAAATCCCGGTTCAAGTTTATACCACGGTGAAACTTTGGAATTAAATGGTTCAGTTTCACAGATTTGTGATGTTGTATTCAAAATCTTACCCCATAGTAAATATTTACAGACGTTTTGAACATGGTTATTAATCTTCTTAAATTGGAAAAAAAATTGGATCACGGTTTACTCATCCTGGCTTCTCAGGTTGCTTATTTTTGATTTTGCAAGAAAAGATCGTTCCCATTTGCTTATAAAATTGATCGATTGAGAGAGATTTTTGGTTTTTGTTAAAAAATGAATATTAAAATCACCACAAAAAATGATTTCTAAATGGCGCTATTATAGTTTAAGCCAAAGCGTTTAGTAGTTTGAAAAGGTTTCACGGTACAGAGGTTCCATCCAAAAAAGTTTGAAAATTCTAAGGATTTATAGTGCTAAATCTCTCACATTCTAGGGAGAGTTTAATATTATATCACTGTGTTCCTGAATAGTTTCAGAGCACAATGTCGTTCCTGCATGTCCCGTTGGTTTAAATGGGTGACATAAGTGGGATTCTCGATCTCGCGCTTTTCTTTGTGCGATAATCCCCCCCCCCCCCCGCATTTCCTTCAACTGAATTTTGGATAACATGGTTGTTAGTTGTATACAATCCATCCTTGATATGCTCGCTTTGGTTGAAATCGCCCAACGGGCCATTGAGCAAGCTTCAGTTTTTCAGTGCATAGGTATGGATGGTATTTTGATCAGGCGGGAGTAATTTTATAGAGCACTAAATTCGTATCGTGCCAGATTGTGATCGGACCAGATGGTAACCGTTGTACATCCTTGCAAAATAATGCACATCACACAATGCACATGCACATAGCAATCTCGAGGTGTAGAGCGGTAATAATGGACAAAAAAATAAGGATTCCAGTTGTTTTGAAAATTACTGGTTCAAAAATGCTTTAAGGGTTCAAAAATGCTTGCTTTGCGCTTGAGGCATATGTTACACTATGGCATTCGGTGGGCCTCAGTAATAATGCAGCTACAATAAAGCACAATTTAGGTTAATTATGAAGCTCATGCGATTCATTCCTTGATATAATTGCTTAGCGGGGGATTCTGGGCCAGCTATCTGCTTGAGTGATAATGATGATTTTTTACCAGTGTTGCGTTAAACTGGTATTCAGGGGCCGAATTTAGGAGGGGGCGGGGGAGGGCGGGGTGTTAAGGACGCTTCAGTTAAGGCTTCGACCCCTTCACCACCCAAAAGGTCCCCCCTTTGGTCTATAACATCCATTTTAGGCCAACCGAACCTAAACTTTTTTCTGAAATTGCCTTTGGCGCCAATATATACTAAGTTTGAAGACGAGCGCGCGCCGAAAGAAAATATTTCCAACGGCATTTTGACAAGTTTTTTCAAAATTTTGCTTCCGGCGCTAAGTTTTTGATCAAAATAGAGACAGTGTTCTGGGAGCACTCGGGAAATCAATTTGATTGAACTAAAAAAATTGGACAAAATTTTTGACAATGTTTGAAAAACCCCTCTCTTCCCGTCGAGAAAAAATTTC